TCAGAAACCTCCAACACTGTTGACATTTCGGTACAAAGGCTACGTGGTCTTTTCTCTGTGGGGAGCAAAGGATTTTGAAGAGGGAAGGTGTACGTAGGGTGTGTACATCTTGCTGTTAATAAATGGGAAACCGGACCCACTGCTGAGCGGCCTACATTTCTGCAGGCATCCATGATGACTATTCCCTTCCGCCTTATTCTGCTGTGTGTGTTTTAATGCCCGTTGTGAACTCTATTACATGGATGCACCATGCTCCTCCGTTTTCTTGGTTGGGCACAACCAAAGTTTTGTTAAGACTAATAATGCTGAGGTAATATTTTTGAACACCTATGACTGAAGGTTTAATTTTGGTGTCAAGAGTTTGCGAACACACCTCTAATCCACACTGCAGGTTGACAAAAAAGTGTTTAGGACACTGGCTTAGGTGCCTTCTGATATTGCTACAGAATATTCACCAAAGTGCAGCTGCACCATAGGAACTGTTTTGCATGATGGTTTTACAGACTTACATTATAGCAGGGAAGCAGTTACATAAGCAAGCTGAGAGAATTAAATCGAAAAGACTTGCCAGAGAGGTCGTACAAAATGTGAGGTAGTGATCTAAGAAGGGAACCCCAGTACTCAGCATGGGATGACGGCCATCCTTACCCAGCGATTCAGCGCATCACAAGGGTTCCTCTGCTGGCCAGCTGTGGAAGGTGTCTTATGGGGCACTGGTTCAGCTTTAAGCCCTGGATCTGGTCCCAGAACAGACAGAAGATTAATTCCCAGGAACCCAGCTCATCCAAGCGAACACCTCTCCAATACTATTTCACTTAGATCCCAGAAGAACATTCTCAAATATTACTGAAATAAAATGTGACAGGATTTAAAGCTCCTATATATTTTTTAGCATGAAAAGTATAACACTCAAATAAATTCACACAAATATAATTCTTAATTTCATCTAGATTTTGTTTTTTTTCCAATGGAATCTAGGAGGAAACATGTAAAGTTGTAAGATAAAAACAAATCAAATAAAAAAAAATGAATCTATCAAACAATGTCAGGTACATCGGCGTACCAATAGCACACAAACAGGGCTTAACAAGCTTGCCTTCTCTCTTTGGCTTGAATGCCAATTTGTGCAAGACACTGTTTAGCCCTTTGGGATAGACTGTAAATAAGGCAAAATTGTCATGATCTTGGAGTGCACATTTTTGCTGGGAACAGCATATACAGAAAGAAATAAAGTCATTCGGTACTAAATGTTAGCTCCATAAAAGACAGTCTGGGCTCCAATATAGTCGCTTTACACATGACAGACAGGTAAGTAGATATTTAGTTGAAAGCCAATTGACAAAACACAGCTCAAAGGAAAGCTAGTGACATATGTTTGAAGGAAAGGGAAGAATAAGTACAAAGGTCTTGAACTAGGGAAGAGCAATGTGTGTTCTAGAAACTTGGAAAAGATCAGTTGACTATAGCCAATGGTAAAGAGGAAAAGTGGCAAAAGATGATGCCAGAAATTTTGGGGGGGATGGGGTGCGGGGAGAGCAAATAGCATAGATGATTGAATAACTCCACCCAATGGAATTGAACAACAGACTTGTATGTGAATGGAGATATATATACACATTTTTTTGAATGGATATATTGGAATATTTAAGATATGTCAATAAAACTATTCTTTAAAAAAAGATACCAGATAATTCTGAGCAGGGAAGTGATACCATCTGATTTTAAACACGCTCACTCTGATTGCCATGTGGAGAATGGTTGGGATGAGGTGTGTGGAAGGGATGGAAGGAGGGAAGATCAGGTAGGAGGTAGCCAGCTAGATAAAACATAATGGTGACATTTGAAACATTCTTTAAAAACAAACTCCTGGGTCTGACCTACTGAATCAAAACATCTGGGGTGTGGGACTCAAGAATCCTGCATTTCAACTGATTCTATTTCCGTCATTCCAGCACCAGTCCAGGAACTGGCATTTGGGAATCACAGGCTTAAAAACATTTTTTTAAAATAAATCATTTTACTGAGGGCTCTTACAGCTCTTATAACAATAAACACATCAAGGGAACCACAGGCTTAACCACAGGAAATTAGCAGTAACTAACACAGGAAGACCCTCAACAAGATGAATTTATACAGTAGCTGCAACAATAGGCTCAAACATAATACTTGTGAAGCTGGTGAAGGATCAGGCAATGGTTCATGCTGCTGTACATGGGTTGCTATGAGACAGAACTGACTCAATGGTAACTAACAACAACGCTCTTTTTAAAAATTAAATAATCATTTTATTAGGGGCTCATACAACTCATAACAATCCGTACATACATCATTAACAACAATGCTCTTATGAAAATTACTCAATTATTCAAATGATGACAGACTGAAGAGTTTAGTAATAATTAAGTATTTTAGACTATCTAACATGATAAATTCAAGATCACCTACCTGAACTTGATGATTCCTGGAAAAATCTGAACACCACTACCGGGGAACTGAGCTCATCCTCCACCTGAAAATGGAAGTCTAGCATCACTACCAAGTAAAAGTAAACCTCCTATATGGCGAGTCTGAAAAACAGGCACTATGTTTATCAGTGAAGACATGAGAAAGTCCAAAGGTTAATTACAGTTGCTAAAGCAGTGGTTCTCAACCTTCCTAAGCCGCAACCCTCTAATAAAGTTCATGTGGTGGTGACCCCCAACCATAAAATTATTTTCGTTGCTATTTCATAACTGTAATTTTGCTACTGTTATAAATCGGGTAACCCTTGCAAAAGGGTTGTTCAACTCCTAAAGGGGTTGTGACCCACAGGCTGAGAACCACTGTGCGAGAGAAACAAAAATCGAGGTTTACTAAATTTCTTAGATAACAAGTCTTGAGTATTCCACTGAATTGTAAGATAATTTTAAATGTTTGCACAAGTACATTTCACTATCAGGAGGAGATTTTAAAAATAATGGGAAAACATAAGTGTGATAGTTAAAGTTTTTGTGCCAACCTGGCCGATAAAAACGTGGGATTAATTGAAGGGCGGAGCGATAAATGGCGTGATGAGCCTCGCCCATCTTGTCTCTGATGGTCACCAGTGTGTTAATTCCTTGCCTCAGCTGGCAAGGCTCACTTCCTGTGACATCCCTGAGGAGAAGCCACACGGACCTACCCTGATGCAGCCCTGGGTGCTGGAGCAGCTGGGCTGAGAACCCTGCCAGCGCTGAGATTCTTACACGCTCACTGATGCGGCTTACCTCCTGCAGTCAGCGTTATTGCGTGTGTTGTGAGAGTTTGAGGAGGACTTTGTAGATTGATGTCGGACATAAGGGCTAACGTCAGACTATGGGCTTGGACTGGACTGGGTTGGGATGCTTTCTTATATACACTTACCTTTTATATAAAACTCTCTCTGATATACATATGAGTTTCTATGGATTTGTTTCTCTAGTCTACCTAGACTAACACAGTAAGTCTCACTTTGCTGCTAAGCAAAAGACTGGCTCCATGGGAAAGATATCTGGCTATTTGTTTCTGTAAAGACTACAGCCCAGAAAACCTCATGAAACAGTATTATTCTGACACCCTGGACTGAGTTGAAAAGGACTCAAGAGGCACCCACCACCACCAATAATGTAAAAGGATCACAACAGGGAGAATGGAATTCGTGCTGAAGAGAGCCACTGCTTCTAAGAATCCCACAACTGTGCTCACCCCAAGGACTGGAACTTTTAATATTCATAGCAAGAAAAGAGAACAGTATGTTCCTCTGTCAGCAGTGGGTCCTGCTGGCAGACTGGGAGAGTGGGTTACCTCCACCCCGCTCCAGCCAGATCAGGGAGAGGGAGTCTCTCTGAGGAGGCTACAAGGGTGTGTCCTAGATGGAGGTCACTGTATTGGGGCCAAGAGAAGTGGTTGCATAGTCATGAGTCAGGTCCTATCAGTCCTGTCCTGACTGCCTTGGTCAGAAGGCTCTGGTTCAATCTTGTAAGCCCTTCTATCTACTATAATGTATGCGTCTCAATCATGGTCTGGTTCCTGCTCGTGTCATCCGACCAGTAATGGTGAGACACTTGCTCTGCCACCAGTCATGAGTTTGTGACAGTTTCCTTTGTTTGATATTTAACTAGCATCCCAACTTGAATCTTCAAACACCATTTTGACCTCATGCCAATGACCTCCCTCATCTGGATGATGTATCTCTGTGTTGGCTTTGTCTCTTAAGATTTGAGAAATGTTTTCCTTAAATTATATTTGAGATTTGGGTCTCTTTTGAACCTTAAAACAATGCTGAGCAAATAATCGGAGAAGCTGCACTATTTGAAGAAGAATGCAGTATCAGGAGTGGAGAAAGACTCACTAATAACCTGTGATTTGCATATGGCACACCTTACTGGTAGAAAACCTAGAGGACTTGGAGCACTTAGTGAAGAAGATCAAAGCCAGCCTTTGGTGTGGATAACACTTCAGCATAAGGAACACAAAAGCACTGACAACTGGACCAATAAGCAACATATATGATAAATGACACCATGTCAAGAATTGTGTTTTCCTTGTATCCATAATCAATACCATGGAAGCAGGAGTGAAGAAATCAAATGATATATGCATGGGCAAATCAGCTGCACAAGACCTCTTTAAAATATTAAAGAACAAAGAGGTCACACTGAGGACTAAGGTTTAATACTTCATAAGCATGTAAAAGCTGAACAATCAATAAGGAAGAGAGAATTGATACCTCTGAAAGATGGTTTAAGCAAAGAATACTGAATAAACCCCGGACTGCCAGAGGAGAAAACACATGTCGTGAAAGAGGTACAGACAGAAGCTTCTTAAAAGTAAGGGTAGTGAAACTACTTCTCACATTGCTGGACTGGAGAGTGTTTTGTTCTATTGTACATTGGGTCAATACGGCACCTAACAAAGAACAGGTCAAACTCCTGAACACCTGGCAGAAACAAATGCAGATCTATACTTCAACAACCCAGGATGTATACAATTTCTACAAGGAAACAAAACACCTGGCCTATAAAAAAAAATAAAAGAATCCGAATTCTACCTTGCAAGTCTGGCTAGACCAGAGGATGTACACTGGTACAGATAGGAACTGGAAACACAAGGAATCCAGGG